GTGTCCAAGTACGGTCGAATGCACGATATGGCCTCCATATGCACGTAAATTGTTGCCTTACATCTGTTAATATTATTCAGCGTTTTCTTTAAGGATAACAATTCTAAAGGAGAGTCAACTAGTCGCTATAGCAAGTGCACTGAACTATATTAATTCAATGGACAAAGGTCGTGGCATTAAGAGATAGTTCTTGCTTGTTTAGACACCTCTATCTATATCTTTGTTCAGATATGAGACGAAAGTAGAGTTGGGAACTTTCACTCGTTAGCTGTTAATGAAGCCTAAAATAAGCTGATAGATAAAAAAAAAATTATTTAAAAATAGATTTTTGTGAAACTCATATATTTTTATAATAGAACAGTAAAGCAGTATGGTTTGCTTTTAGTTCTAAATAAACTAAGCTTGCTAACCGAACAGTATGGATCATGGGCCAAGTATGAAGTCCAATAGGATTGAGACCTCAGATTCGGTAGCGTATGCGTTGTTTGTCGCAAGCAGTTTACGGTCGAGAATTTTGAATAATTCTAGATTACGTACCACTATTGGCAAACGGAATCTGGAAGACAAATCTTCGACTCTCTACGACCGCAAGCGGATTGTATGCAATGAAAGAATATAGTGAATTTAAACGCAACGAAGATAAAAATCAATGATTTTCGACAATTCAGTTGTGTATTTTAAACGTAGAAGCGCGCTGACGGAATTCGATGAAGAAAAAACGCTGGGCAGAAAAAAACTCTCACTGAAACAGCGCCCCGTTATTCGCAGCTGCAATCATCATGAAGAAAAATTGGACTGAATTAGAGACGGTAGGAAAAAGGTCCAGCACTTAACTACCCCTAATGGACGAATGAATCGCTATGATCACAAAGGCACAAAGCGTAAGCAGTGTGCCCGCTGTTTCCGGGATTCCCTAAAACATCTCATACGACCTGGATAGGCAAAAATAGAATCAACGAGTGACTTTAGCCCCTACATTTCCTAGATCTAAGCCCTTTTTTCCCAATTGCTTTTATGCGCACTTTGCAACCGACCCGTTCAAACGAACGGCCGATACCGAGATGAAGTTTATTAATGTAAATCGTAGGAGCACAGTCGTCGCGAAGCTTCCAGAGTTTTGGCATCTAGGCGAAAATAGCATAGAAAAAATACATAAATTAATCTATCTTTGCTGAGAGGTTATTTAAGCTTTTCGACTATAGCGGACAGGCTAACAGTTATCTTCTTCTTCATCGTTTAAGCTTCCTCTAAGCATAACATTATATAACTAGTAACGGCATTATTTCCACAGTGCCATTGTTCCGAAATCGCACCCAAAGTTGGTGGCTGTTTTTTTCCCCATTGGAAAAACCGTGTTCCTCTGCGTCAAGCTTATGAGTGTTCGAAATGCATAGACAAACGACTCATCTAAGATACCGCTGAGGTATAGGCACTATAAATATGTGCCTTAAGCTTTACTATTTAAGCAATATAGAGTTAAGACCATTAATTAAAGTTCCCGGGTGTAGAAAATGGCGAATTCTGCCAGTAGCTTTAAAAAATAAAGGTATATAAAGTTTTTCACTTGTCTATGTAAATAACTTATATATTGATCGCGTCGACCAACCGAGTGACGGTGTTATTTCCTTTCTGAGCTAAAAATATTATCTATCAGTAATTGTTCAGCCATGATGAACAGCCGATGGCACCTAATTATTATCTGATCGATCAGTCTTGTGAATCACGCTCCATCTTTTCATATCGTGATATAACGTGACCGACTGCAAAAATCAATCTGTCACTTTTTTTTTTTTTTTTTTTTGCTGTCCAATAGTCCAAATGACAGAATAGGTCTTCGTCATTATCTAAGGTCTTTTCTAGGTTGTGCCGATTAAAATAGTTAGCTTTAATAACGGCATTTAACATTATTGCTATCTTATTAATTATATTTCACGAATAGCTAACTAGCCAAGACGAGGTACGCTTAGATACTTAGCGCAACAATAACCTAACCTAAGGTTCTTATATTCCCGTTTATTCGTCTATATATAACTATTAAGCGGTTTGACGCTCCAAGAGTTATACGAGCGCCGAAGCCCTATAACTGTGGCGTTAACAAGTCTCGGTGTACGTAGCATACGTTAGTTGTTCACAGACATTTGACAATGTTGACTATCATATCTATAAGAAGTGCCGTTGCAAGGAGTAAGTTCTAAGATAGCCAGGAACAACTGGCACAGTCATACCTTACAGGTCCGACACTCGCGAGCGACCTTGGCTACTTTCTGCTTGATCGAGATACCAGTCCCCCTAAGGCTTTTCAGGCTTCATTTCTAAGTCCTATTCTGTACATGATGAGACAGAGATATGCATGTTTAACAAACAGGTGTTATCTTTTTTTTTTTTTTTTTTTTTTTTTTTACATATTTACTAGGAAATCCGGAAACAGATTGACTGGACAAAGCCTCTTATGCGATAGCTTGAATGGAGATACTTGTTCCTAGACATGTTGCCTCCAGATAGCTCAATACATCGTCAAGTATAAGCGTGCTAGTTACGTACAACCATCCGGAAGTTTGATATTTCCGATGAGCAACAGAAATTGGTTGTATATGTGTGTTCCAGCGCAGTATACCTTGCCTTACATCAGCTTGCTCAGGATAGATTTGTGGAAGTTGTTCGTGGACCCCAGAGTGTTTATCTGAACCGAATGATTTTTACCTAGGGTAGCTAGATCTGCAGCGGACTACTGATGCTCGAGTATTTAGTAATCTTATGAGAAATAGTTAACTTGGTGGTTTTATATGTAAATTTAAGACTAGAATACTTGTCATCGTATGGTTTATTGCGCCACCAGAAACGAAACCATTCCAAACGTGTTCATACAGTCCACTTTTTAATGAAATAGCGTGAAAATGTATTGTATCAGAAAGAGTATCTGTAAACGTCAAAATTTTCGGACAGCTGCTGCTTAAAGGACGAAATAGAAAAATTGAACGCATCAGTCGCTTGGGTATTTTTGTAAAAACTGAAACGGTGCTGATTAAAATATTTTCCACTCCGACATGTATCACGAAACATTATTTTCTCATTCGGATCCTCGTTTTTCCAAAACGGAAGAAAATTGATATATGTATTATATGAAAACTGTATATGTAAGAGTTATAGACGCTCCTAGAGGGTAAATTGAAACAAGCAGAAGGTCACTTCGAGTCTAGGAGCAACTTAACGCGAAACTGGCTACTGGTGGCTTAAGCCAGAACCAATTACTATATAAAACAACCCAACTTAAGTGTTAATTCCAAAAGTCAGTGGCTATTGTAAATGATGTCGCTAACAGGCAAGTTTCTACGGACACTCGACCTTTCTCACATATTTCGCCCTGAAAGCGTACAGACTTTAAAATCGGTCACAGGTTTCAAGAATAAGAGAGAGAGAGAGAGAGAGAGAGAGAGAGAGAGAGAGAGAAATGGTCAAGCCTCTCTCTTGTTTGTCAGCAATTCTATGATTACCATAGGCAAGTAATTTTACCTACTGCATCTGGCAGCTCGAGGAGCGCATCGATAGTATTCGAAGTTAATCGTGATCAGCTACCGTAACCGAATCTTGGCGTGCTTATGTATTTCGCTAACTGAAGGTATTGATGCACCTCACAAACTCGTTTCTGCCCACATTTCGATTCGAACGGCAGCGCTACCCCTCGATCTAGCATTCAGATGGGTTATTTGTATAAAGTAGCATAGCTTAAATTCAAAGAACTAGCAAAACATCTATCCAATAAAAATAAATAATATCTTCAAATCGGAGCTCGAGTATTAACGATTTGATTATAATATTGTAAATACAAGTTATTAGCGTGTCTACAACGTTAGCCGTTTTCCATTAATCTATAAAGAAGTTGCCCCTGCGGCCGTGGTGATAGCATCGATGTTCACATCATGGAAGACTCGTAGAAGTCGTTACTTTTATGCGAATTCATATGCAACCCCGCCCAAATGTTAGCAGTTCTTCGACGCATAGACGGGTAATTTTCCAGAGCGGGCAAACAAGTTGTCCTCCTCTTCTTAGGCGTCAATTTGTTACTGGTCAGCCGAAGAATATTCCGTGCTCAGGTGAGCCGGATCAACAATACGTCTGCGGCGGAATTTGGCCAGACGCTAAAACGTATGTCCAACCCTTCGGCTAATCAATGCTACCATAACCCCATATATTTACTCAAGCTCCTTGCCACTACTGTTAATATCGGTACTGCGTCTTAATTAGTCGACAGTTTGTCGGATCTCGTCCATATTACAGGAGCTCAGTCGGCGATTGTATACACGCAATACATCATAGAACATTAGACGCTCCAAAGCAGTTCTATTCTAGCTATTGCGATATGGCCAACACTGATTTAACTATACGCGCTGTACATACAGCACACAGGTGTAACAGTCTATACAGAATTCACGAATGCGACGCGCAACAGCTGTCGGCAGGTGACAAATAGATGGCACAGCTGAATGTGTGCATAAAATGCAGCACGGGACATAGATCACAGTAGTGTAAACGATGCAATTGTTATTGTTTCGGCGGCAATAATCATGTCTACCGTCAAAGCGGCCGCTGTCGAGGTACATACATGTGCTGACGCATGGCTGGCTAAATGGCCAAGCCTGCTGCCTAACCAGTTTCCCGCTAGGTGGGAGGGGCCTTCTCTGGCCACCACTGAAGTGCCCACCATCGATTGATATGTGTATGTACCCTACTTGATTGACCGTAGAGGCATTCACGCGCGTTTGCCGGACTGTTTGTCTGTTCGGTAGTTGACTGGGCGCGCGCAAACTTCGTCTCTCCATCGACAGTCGGTCTGTATCTGTATCTGTGTAGACGAGCGCGCGTCGGGTGGGCAAGAGGGGAATGACGATGATAATCTTCAGCATGCTGGTTGGTGGCTGGGGCATCGCCGTGATGACGATCGCCATCGGCGCCAGAACGGTGGAAGAAGCAGATTGGAGAAGAAGCTGTTGTCTCAGGGTGAATCTTCTTTATTAAGGCGTCCAAAAGATCAATGTGCGTGTAGTGGTGAAGTAGAAAATCGCGCACGCTGTGATGAGCTGACCAAAAATCTACTGTAGGAATAGGTCCCAAGAGATTTTGTCGGGCACAGAAAAAAGTAACCGGCACGTTAGAAAGTGGACAAGATACCCTTGAATGCTGTGAAAAATCAACGTAAGGAGAAAGGTAAAAACTGTGTTAAGCGCACGCGTTTGAAACGAAAACACGGTCTTGAGAGACCTGCCATTAATGTTACGGCTTACAGGCATCGAAGTCTGCTTGAGATCGATCATTACTGTAGTAGTGACGTTGAAACGATTCTCCAATAGAATAATTCTGCTCTTTCATCCGAAGTTCGGTGAATCATTTGGTGAGAGCTCAATAACGGCTGTGGTGCACTCAAGGCGGATTTAAACAATCAACTAAATGATCTAAACGCTTGTGGATAAAGTGAGTGTGGTTAATATTGTCGAATACCGTTGAAAACTTTACGCCTCTTAATGCACGAAGGATCATACTGAGTAACTCAAAGAGGAAACTAGATTTTTCTTTCGAGGATGTGAAACGATCACACATCAGCATTGAGTTAGAGTGATGTTTAATGATCTGAGCGCCTTCATACATGAGGATGATCCAGAAGGATTTTGAAGAGCTCTATGGGGCCCCTCTGCGACTGGACGCCGGGTCTCCCCCTGATTATGCTGACAGACAGCTATATGGCATTAATTTTAAAAGGTTAGTTATAATTTGTTTCAATTCCAGTTCTGGGACTTTATAGATTTAAAAGTGAATCACAGATAGAAACATTGCAATGTATGACACGTAGTTGCATGATAAATCAAATACCCTTATCTACAAATCTGTCCTGCCACACTTGCAAAGGTTGCTCGACAGTTTTGAAGGTACTCAAAAACGCAAATACTTAGATTCGGGTTGTATGCTGCAAGGCAGAAAGTGCGCCGCTGCATCGACAATACTTCGCTGGGGTCGGGACAGTAAGCAGACAGCATCGTATGGCTACATACACTGACTTCAGATCGATCATCCAGAATATAGACCATCAAGAACTTCTAAAACGGATGCCGACTGAACGGGCCCCTAATACTCTGAACGTTCCTTCTAGGTGAAATTTTCGAGTTCGCATAAACAAGACCACCTCTCCGTATTGATGTGATCGGCCATTGACGTAATAAGCCAGCTAACTTTCGATATAATATTGCTATGGAAAACGCCATGACGTAAAATGTCTGCATTTAAAAAATGGGCCTCTTGAGACATTCAATCAGCATTTATACCCACTATTCGTTAATGAAAAATGTCTTCATGAAGAAAAACACTTCGTCACATTGCTGGCCGAATCGCTATTGTATGTACAGGATTACGCCCATTACAAGAGTGGAAAAAACAAGCCATTCATCTGCATGGAAATTCTTCTTTGAAATTCCCCAAAAACCTTCTACCGCCCATTAGAAGTACAAATCAAATATAAAAATGCAAAGAATGATAGCAAACGGCCAATAATAGTCGCAGCATTGAACATGCTTTGTATAGCCAAACGCCAGCGCTTACTTAGTACATTTTCTATATTTACTTAGATAACAATGCAGTCAAAAGGAAAATACGAATTACGCGATGCTTGATATTATCTGTCACTGACACATAGTTGCTCGTATATTATCGTGCCATCACCGTTAGCCACCCTACGCACCGACCCATACGAAACACGTGCGAAGACCCTAGCCGTAATCAAGCATTAAAATGGGTACAAAACTAATATTCGTCGTACGAAACCGTTTATTATAGTCTTTAGTATAGGCACGGTTTGCCACTGCTCGACCGCAGAAAGGGCAAACCCGATAGGAAGTATTCGACCTAATGTAATGCATACAACGGGAATGTGAGGCGGTGATCAGGGACATCTTCGTTTTCTGTGCCTATTGCGAATGCCATAACGCGTCTAGTACGCGAACAACCTCAACGAGAGCTGGTGATCGTATAATCAATGTCGTTCCGACCCATCTCAATAGGTTGCCTTCTGGCTACCCTTGTTTGTTCGTCGTTGAACTCTAAGAGCAGGATGAACAAAGTCCACTTCGTATCCAGGACCTCCCTGCCTGAGTTTCGGTCGAAGGAGATCTTTGTTCCGAATTACTGACTGACTCGCGAGTACCGCAACGGTCTCCATAGGCAACGATGTGTGCACGCTTAATATTGTATTTTGCAGCTCTGTTTACTTGCTTTATATCCGAAAATATTTCGATCATCTGTTCCTTTCCACAATGAGTTTGCGGCTAGTTACAGGCAAAAAGCCTCGGATGTGATCACAAGCAAACTATCCTATTTCGTTGCGTATGATACCAGCAACAAAACAGATACCGATCGTGAGGTAATGGCGAGTGGGCAGTCTTACTGCGTTTCAATTTACCAAATCCCTGATCATGTCCTTTTATTGCTAATACTTGTCAATTAGGTCGGTGCGATCCGCTAGGTGAAATACAGATCAACTGTCTATCACAGAGAAATATAGACACATAAAGGAATATACAATCAACCGCTATAATGGAACAACATTTAGAGCGTTCTTCGTATAACAAATGAAAGTTTACTCATTCCGACTATATTCTACCTCCTTGTGTATCGTTATCGACCTTTAGGCGGATTATACGATTATAGCGTACCAACTCTTTCTCATCCTAATCAGTTTTTACCACAAAGGCCGCTAAGGGTATTTTAAGCGTCAAACGCTTGGGATTTTCCGTATTTAGTATTGAGTACAAAATTAAATATAGAAGATAAACCGTCCTTCTTGATCAGCGTAGCTACGATATTAGCGAACTGAAAATTTATATATAAAGTTATAGGTATAACTAAAAGTGACGCTAACAGTGACGAGCAGCTTAGCGTCCATTCTCTTAATTCTTGCACATTATCTCTCTGAAAGCCTGGGAAATCCTAACAATTTAAGGATAAACAGCCAAAAATTTGACATGTTGCGGCGTACGATGAGCGAGCATCATGAAACAGGACCGAATAGGGGATCAGGGACGTTTAGCTGACGAACAGCATAAAATTTAGAAATTTGAAAAAAACGGAGCCTTAGTTGAAATCGGCTCGAGGTACCAAAACATTCACTTTTGTAGAAGATGACCACGTGTAGCAAACATCAAAAAATGATGAGAAGCCTATTAATACCTACTAATGAACACGGCATCTATGCCAGTGGACCTATTGTCACCTATTTAATTATTGAAACTAGAAACCTTTTTGACGCGTAAAATATTTTACAATTTCTACAAACTGCATTAAGACCTTATATTTTTTTACAGAGTTGTAGAGAAAACAGTCCACGATTACAACACTGTGTTCCTTTTTTCAAATTATAATAGGTTCTAGCTACGCTCTCGCTGGCAGGCGATGCGTTGATCATCAGGCCGTCACTTGACCTAGTAACTAGCTTGACTCTGGCTACTTTTATCCTCTGTTAAGGTAACACAGGATAGGACACAATAGGATAAATACGCACACACACCCCGTAAAAAGGAGAAGGTTGTACGTTGTTTGTAGAGTAGGTACTACTCAGTTGTTGTACAGAGTTGACAAAGGATTTAACGGTGTTTACTGAACGATGCTGTACTTAAGCGATGAATTCTACGGGCAACTATATGAAACGTGTGGTTACATCATCGGTATCACTCGTTTCAAACTGTTATCAAACTGTATGTCACCTTTGCTACAGAGCTATTGGTCTTCAATTGGCATCAGTGAAGTGAATTCGAAGGCCGGTCAGTGTTTGTTCATTTATTGATATGACCCGAAAAAACATTCGAGTAGAGTATGTAGAATTTTCCGAAACCTATTCATGGAAACAATATATATTTGTTCTTAGCTTAGTTAACTGTAGTTAAAATATGTTCTGGATCAGCTTTTCTTATGATACAATAAAGCGCGAGGGTCATATCTTGTTCTCGCTGTCCGCATTGAAGTATCTAAAACTCCTCTGGCAGCACTTCATACAATATGAATAATATATACTTAAAATTACTAACACATACAAACCCGGTACGAATGAAAAAAGGCTTCGATGTGTGTAGAGTTTAATTTTAAATGCACCATAAGGTTAGGACATACCAAGGGGAGGGATGTTGTAGTAACCAACAAAAAGAAAAACAAAGTGAAGTCGATAAAATACTATTCTGTTTATATAAATTCATATTTAGAAGAGGCCGAATACGTTCGTATTGTAGCTGACTATTTCGATTGTTCAGATTGCGTACCGTTAATAGTTTACATACAATATAAATATATA